CCAAAAGGGCCTTGAACCCACAACCTTCTGACTCAGTGACGAGAGGGCTACCAACAGAGCCAGGTTGATACTATGTCCCTCAGTAAGTGTATATCGTTTGCTCCAGGAAATATAATCCATTCCTCAGCCAACAGGTAAAATGCCCATTGCGAGTATCTCAGCCGCTTCTAAATTGCAGTAAAATATATATGCTTGCACACCTGTGTACTTGGATTAGTTTCAGTGCACAGACTGGCCACATTTTTGGTCGACTGGTTGCTGTTTGTAACTTCCTTGAAGCCATTTATACACAGGAGCCAACACCAATGTCACTTCCTGTGTGTTGCACATGTGAAATGTTGTTTGATGTTGATCTGACAACCTGGAACCATTCTTTAGCACATGAAGTTAGCGCACATGGGTGCAACACGCAGGAAACAACATCAGCAGCAACCTAACAATTCAGATGTTGGTCATCTTTCCGTGCTTCATTATAATGCAGGGCCTGAGAGATTAATAACAACAATCACAACACGAAAATTACATTTGGATAGTGCCTTTCATGTCATGAGAGTGTCCCAAGGCTCTGGACAGACAGAGTTTCGGACCCGAGCTAGGGGTCCGGGTGGGGGAGGGCAGGGGGGAAGCAGGGAAATCGAAACCACGGTCGAAAAGGAGGGTCTTGAGATGGGTCTTGAAGGAGACAAAGGAGGGGGCGAGGAAGAGGGACTGCAGGATGGAGTTCTAGAGGGTGGGGGCAGAGTGGCAGAAGTCCCGTCCGCCAATAATGGGGCGAGCAAGGTGGGGGACGTGAAGCAAGCCAAAGCCCTGAGTGGAGGGAGCAAGCGGGATGGTAGGGAGGTTGCAGAGGAAGGAGGGAGCAAGACCCTGGAGGGCTTTGAAGGTGAGGACCAGGATCCTGAACCGTATCCTCTGGTGATGGGAAGCCAGTGGAGTCGGGCAAGGATGGGGTGATAGGGTCACAGAGTCTAGTGCGGGAGAGGACACAGGCTGCAGAGTTCTGGATGATCTGCAGCCTATGGAGGGAGGAATTGGGGAGGCCGACAAGCAATGAGTTTGCATAGTCAAGCGTCGATGTGATGAAAGTGTGTATGAGGGTTTTCAGCGGCCTGCGGTGTGAGACAGTGGCGGAGCCAGGCGATGTTGCGGAGGTGGTGGAAGGCAGAGTGGGTCATAGCGCAGATGTGGGGTAGAAAGGATAGTTGAGGGTCAAACAAGACACCAAGGTTCCGGACTGGCTTAGCAAGGTGGAGTGTGCAACCATGGATGGTGATGCTGTCAGCGCCTGAGGTGAGGAGGTGCTGACGGGGGTCAATCAGGAAAGTCTCGGTTTTGTTGACGTTAACATTAAACGTAACATCAAAATTCATATTCTATTACAATAAGCGGTTTATATTAAAGCCATTATATAAATTGAGCTATCGTAATTACAACAATAAATCCATTAGTTTAAAAAGAATTTCCCTTGGGCTTGCTGAGCATGCAGTTTACTGCAATAGAAAAATAAATCTAAATTCACAGCTTGCTTGAAACAAGATGAGAGACCAGTGTCAGTTTGATATACATCATTTAATGCCAGTTAAGTACCAATTGCGTGTCCATTAACGGCTAGAACTCTGAGGGCCATCTACATGATTATAGCCTATAAAGTATAAGTTACATAAGTAATGTGTTAACGAGCTTGACAAATAATTGAGTGCTTTCAACCAGAACCTTGAGTAGGTTATGCTAAATGCTGTGACACAAGAGCTTGCAAATTTTAACAAGATAACATCACATAACTCAACAACACTAGGCGCTTGACTGGCGGTTCCCTAGTAGCCATTGACAAATATGCACTTAAAACCATTCTTTTGTTCACGCTTGATTGGAAGCATTTGCCTTATTTTTTTTTCTCAAATCCAATTGGTTTGGAATTTAATTAACAGGTCTACTCAAAGGAATTTCTCTCAGTGTTTAATTAATTACTGGAATTGTTTTTGCCAATAAGCCTGGTTGAGACGGACTCATTTAAAAAAACAGCTTGATGATGTAATGGGAGGATGATAGTATGGGTATTCTGGAGGGTTGAGAGCAGATGGGCTGAAGGATCTCTTCCTCCAAACCTTATGAAACAACAGGTAGAGGGACATAACCTTCCCTTTGCCCCAACTTCTGGCACAGACCTGAAGGGTGAATCAATAAAATGTTCATTATAAATATAAGTACTGAATGTTTAGCCCAGCATAACAATTAATACTTGTTATTTGTGAACCCTGGTGGCAAAATCACAATCTTCAGTTTCATATAAACAAGGTTCTTTGGCCACTGTATGGTATCCAAAAATAGGTTTTTGGACTGGCAATGTGGAGGGCTGTTAAAACAATGAGACTACTCTTTGGGGGGGCCTTGCATTGTACCTGAAAGGAGAAGAGATGGAGCCTGGGGAAGGGAGAGGACATTGGTCGTCTCAGTAACATGCAATATGGCCTCACTCACATGGACAGCCTTGAGCAATGGTGAGAAGTTGCTGTGGATGTTGAGTATGGGGTCTGAGACACCATGTAGGTGTGTATAACTGATAAGGGGTGTAAACTGTAAGTGAGAGCAAGTTGTGAGAGGGCTGTAGAACACAAAATAATGATTTAATCAGTTGAGTTTAGTTCTCATTCGTCATACTCAAACTGGTGATCTGGTCAGACCACACCTCAAGTATTGCAATACAGTTTTGGGAAAACCAGGGCCTATAGGCAATGAAGAGGTGAGCGATCAAGATGATCCCCAGTGCTAGAGGAACGAGCTATGAGCAATGATTAGATAAGCTAGGGCTCTTCAGTTTTGAGAGAAGATGGCTTAGATGACCATATAGAGGTGTGTAACATTTTAAATGGGATTGAAACAGATACCAGGAAATCTTTACTCAGAGCTCAGAGGATAAGTAATAACTGGAACAGGAGGAGGAATGACGAGTTGGTGGAGGGTCCATGACTTCTATCAATCTTCTTCCTGTCCTCAACCATGAGGAAGGGTGGTTGGTTGAGGCCAGGTCTCAGGTGACATTTAAAAAAACAGCTTGATGCTGTGATGGGGAGGAGGGGAGCAGGGGCAATAGGTTAGGTGCTCTCCAAGGATGAGATCAGATGGGCTGAAGGGCTTTCTTCATCCAAACCAATCTTGTGGTCTTATGAAATGAGGCAGCCACACCTCAGCGTCTTTTAGGGGTAGCATTGTACTGTCAGGCCTACAGGGAATGGTGGAGGGCATTGAGGCCCTGTATTACTAAACCATTTATTTGTAAACCAAACATGTGTAGTGCATCTCAGTTCACTCTCGCCTCTGAGGTTTTCAAGCCCCATGCTCAAGACTTTGAGCTCATATTCTAAGCTAATGTCTAATGCAGTTATGGGATGTGCTGCATTGATGGAGGTACCGTTCTTTGGATGAGACATTAAACCCAAGTCCTATCTGCTTGTTCAGATGGACATTAAAGATGCCTTAGCACTACCCGAAAAGAGAAGTATCCTGACCATAAAATTGGTCATTCGCTTCATGGTTGTTTGTGGGACAAAATTGTGTGCAAATTGGCTGCTACATCAGTTTACAAAACACAGAGTCACTAAATCCAATAAATCCTGTTTTGAGATGTCCTCCCAATGTAAAGGACACTATGTCAAATGTTATCATTATAATAACTGTCTAGTTCTGGATATCTTTTATCAAGTGTGGGCCAGTATTAGGTGTGAATGTACTGAAGTGTTTATGAATAGACTGCTAATAGAAAAGCAGGTTAGGGTAGAAGACCAATTCTGTTGTTTCTATTTAAGAAATATTTTGATGCTGCGATGAAAAGAAGATAGGGTGGGTGTTCTGGTAGAAGATCAAATGAGTCGAAGTGTCCTTTTCATCACCTCTCTTGTGATCTTCTGACCTTATACAGGTGTATATCAGTCCAAGCAACCCCCTTTTAATATAGCCAGTGTCATAATAAAAGCCACAGGGGTCAAACATACTATAAAATGGAATAGCAGGTGAGTCCATTGGGTTAGTGGTTAGAGCATTCACATCGCAAGCGAGAGGACCTGGGTTCGATTCCCAGACAGGGTGAAACCTTAGGTAAGTTTCCTTATTCCACACACCTCTGTTTACCTAGCCGTAAGTAGGAACCCGGTTGTTAGTCGATTGGCGGATCACTTTTCCGGGAGTAATAATCCCTTCAAAAAAGAAATTCTGAAAAAAAAAATTTAGTCACTCAATCCACGACAGTTTGTGGTACACTAATACTGTGCAAAACTGATTGCCACGTTTCGTCCACAAAATATACAATCAATTCACTTTACAGTATATTCTGTGAATCGCTTTGAGACGTCTCGAAGACATGATAAGGCACTATATCAAATGCATTATTATTTATAGCATCTGGTCTTGGCACACAGCTTGGATTAATGTGTAATGCAGCAGTGATTATAATTAGATTTTGAGGAAGACACATCTGCTTTGGTCACCATTCGTCCCACGTTAGGCCAAGTAGTCCCCTTTATGTCTTCAGCAGAAAAGAGATGAATTGCAAGGATTATTATAAACGAAAATGTTGTACATTTGTACAAAAGTGAGGAAGATCTGAAGGAGAAAATATATCAGGGATATTGGAATAACTCTTCATTCGTAAATCTGAAACAGTGGCTGGAAACATTTTGATGGTTAAAGCAGAGCAACTCAGAAAGCTGCTAATCTTGGGCTGGTGACTGGCCAGCAGGTTTTCTTTTTACAGTCAATAAGTTTCGTAAGACTAACCCTCAATCCTTGCATTTGTTATGGTGCCTTTCATGTCGGGAAGACATCTCAAAGCTCTTACCAGGATTTTTATTGTAAAGTGCTGTGACTGTTTTGTAAGATTACGTATGAGATGATGGTACATTTTATTGTTTTATGACTGGGTGGTATTGTGTATAAATGTGCTGAAGTGGAAGTGTTTATTGGAGTATTAATTTAAAAGCAAGACATCTTTTGGTTTTGTTTTGCAGACAAAGACAGGTATAGCACGACTGTTTGATGAGGAATCTGAGAATGCCTATGACATCCGACTAAAGCTGTCCAAGGATGTTATAACAATTCAAAAACAAGATGTTATCTGTATCACTGGAAGTGAACCTCATTCACATGTAAGTAGTTCACATCATTGCAATGCTAACTGTCTGAAAAGTGGAATAGGTATTAAAGCTAAGTATTAAATGAGACTGAAGGCAGCTCTATTTTCTATTTGTTAATGATAATGAATGTAATAGTAGGAATCAAAAAGGTGCAATTTAAAAAGGATCAAATTGGGTAAAGCTGCCCAGGGGATGTAAACCTTGCTGATATAATGTAGAATAAACTATGCACAGGCAATGAGAAATTACCATTGTAACCATTTTAATTTGGGTAATTTAGTGAATGTAGTGAAGGTGGAACTGTTTTCTTTTTTCAGCAAGTAAATTAATTTGCATCTTATTAAATGCTTCATGCAATACTCCTGGCTAAAGGCTAACTCTCTACATCTTGAACCACTTTGCATTGTCACCTCTCTCCTTCATAAAATCATATCTCGTTGGTGCACTTTCCAAGTGGGAAGCACTAAAAGGTCTAAAAGCTGATCGAGAAATATCTTCTTTGTCATCTCACAATGTCTGGGAAGCTAATCACATTAACTATAGCTATAGAAATATACAACGTATTAATTACAATTCAACCCATTTTTTTTTCCTGTCAATGTCCCTTGCTCCAACAAGCCACCTATCCTAATCCCAATTCTGTGCTCTTTCCTTGTATCCTCTAATACCATTCCTCTACACGTGCTTGTCCAATTCTTGTTTAACTGCCCCAAGGAAGGAATGTGATAAATCCAGGAAGTAATAAGATTAGATTTGAGAACCCATAGCCTGTTTTTTATTAAAAAGGGTATTTTTCAGTGCTGTTATGTGTAGCTTTTGGCTGCCCGCGGAAGGAAAAATGCACAATTGTAAAAGGGACAATAATAATAATCCTTGAATTTGACATAGTGCTTGATCACGTCTTTGAGCATCTCAAAGCGCTTCACAGAACACACTGCAAAGATAATTGACTGCATATTTTGTGGGCGAAACGCAGCAGCCAATTGCCCGCAACAGTGTTCCACAAATAGTCGTGGATTAAATTGACCAATTCATTATTCTTACTTTTTTGAAGGAATTATTACCCCCGGAAATGTGATCTGCCAATCGACTAACAACCGGGTTCCTACTTACTGCTAGGTAAACAAAGGTGTGTGGAGTAAGGGAACTTGCTCAACACTTCGCCCTGCCGGGTATCAAACCCAGGTCTTTCTTGCGAGGCAAGTGCTCTAACCACTGAGCTATAGGACTCCACAATGAGATTTAAAGGTTAAGAGAATGGAATCTGATAATATTGGATGCGAGAACTTCATGACTACCTAATTTTTAGCGTAAGATATCAGTAATGTGCAATAATGATAATAATAATCCTTGCAGTTGATATTGCGCCTTTCATATCAGGAGGACTTCTCAAAGCATATTACAAGATTTGCTCTATTTTGCGGACAATTAGGCTGGGTAAAGAGAGGGATTAAATGACATCTGTGAAACCGTTTTGGGGCCAGTTTAGCAGCTTTGATGATTGGGTAAAATTATTTCTTAACAGCTACTGTGATATTATAAATTGTATCTGACTGCATGTGTCTGACACATGCAGAAACGCATTACCATTATTAGAATATCCAAACTAGACTGCGTTCCACATATGTACGCCACTTACACATGGAAATTTCCGTATCTGGAATGGAATGTGCACTCTGTTACCAGAAGGATAGTAATCTGCTTATCGAATTCTGGAGAGTATTGGGCACAGATTGGTGAGAGCCAAGATTTGAATAATAATGATAATCCTTCCATTTGATATAGCACCTTATCACGTCTTCGAGACGTCTCAAAGTGCCTCACGGAATATACTGTAGATTGACTTACTTGCTATAGCTTTTGTAACAGAGCACAACAAGGCAGTCTGAATAAATTACTGTATCAGAAGAATCAACTGGCAATTTTTCATTTGTACAAAGTGTTACTGTGTTATTATCTTAAATAAGGAACTCGGTATAAACGTTACAAAGGTGAAACGGAAGATATTAAAAGAAAGCAGATAACTGGCTATCATGACCAGTTGCTCATCAGCCAGGTCAGGCTGAATTAACATGGCAGCTCATATGTTTCAAAGAGAAGGAAAACAAAGGAAGTAAATGAGGACACAGATCAATGAGATAATGAATATTGCAATTGACTACTAGGAAGACAGGTTATTAAATCGCAAATGTCAGCCAATTAATGTTTTAATGAAAAAAATACTGTACTACTGCCAAATGTATTTTAAGTTTTAGAAAAAAATATGAATAGAATTTATTCTGTAACGAGAATCATTGAAAATTGTTTTATATCATAATTAATTTGGCATCTAATCAATATTCTGTCTACCGTTTTGTGGTGCACATTAAGATAGCATCCAGTGCAAGCAAATTGAGTAGCTGAAAGGGTCTATGTGGTGTACTTTTTTCCCTTTTGAGTAAGTTTTATTTTGAGTTCTCGGCTTGCTATTTTCTATTCATGTGGAGCAATAAGCTTACAATTTAGGAGAACATGGGACCCAAATCCCTCATGTTTTCTTTTTAGGTTGAAGAGCCTTGTCTTAAAATGTAAGATTATTCAGAATTTTGTTAGTCTAAAATTCAGTCTTAATTTAGGAGTAGATTTTCTGCAATTCTATTTCGATACTGCAGAAAAATCAGACTCTAATTACAAGACTGCACTCCAAAAGTTCTGCATAATCTTACATTTTAAAACAATAGTCTCAAGCATATTAGCTGAATGCAAATTAGATGGGTTTCTTTTAGAAAATAATATTTTGGGATACAGCATATGAGTAATTTGAGACATGACAGTTGTAGTATGCTTGGAAGAACTAGGCAATTTGGGATCTAAGGTTCCAAAAGCTTTCTACTGTGATGGTAGACTAATCCATACAGAATTAATTGCTATCAGCATCTCCATTAGTGCAGTATGCGACTACCAGGTTGGTAGAAGGTGGAGTAGATTGAAACTGGTCTTTTTTCGTCTCGTAATTCTTTGTTCCTATGCACATGAACTTGAGAAACGTTGTGTCCCTGGAACCTAGGGCCTGAAATATCTTAAAGTTTTAATCCATTTTGTCTTGCTTCAATTAAGTTTTAATTTGGAATCTGGTTTTCCTCGGGTCTTTATAAGAAATGCAAAGATGCATACTGAATTTACGAATTTTCCAAAATTCTCCACGATCTTAAATACCAAAATAATGGAGGATCTTAAGACTACAAATCCAATTTCTTATTCAGATTCAGACACTTGTTCTTCCTATTTGAACTGGAGCATGTTCGTTCCTAATAATTTCATAGGCCAATTACACTGCATGCACTTGTTGGAATCCATGCCTGGAGCAGAGCAATGCGAAACGACATCCTAGATTTGCCTGCTCTGTATTTAAGGTTTGAGTACAAGGAAGTCTGACCTCTGCACTTGCATGTAGACTGGCACCCAAATGCCAGGTCATTTTTTAAATGTCATGATTTTGGGGGGGTTAAAAGTTCACTTTGACTGCACTTGTATCACAACGGCAGCTGCCAAGCTGAATTATGTGAAATGGCTCTTCCAAGGAAAGGTCCAGGCTAAAGTTTGTGGCTCAAGTTCTGAGACTTGAAATGACCCCAAGCCATTCCCTGTGAAATAATTTTGTTTTAAAACTTACAATTGTGGAGAACTTCAATCTTAATTTTGCAGGTGCTTTCTGTCAGTTCTTGTGACAACTTGTGTTTATTTAGTGCTCTTCATGTAGGGTAATCTACTTATAAAGAACAATAACAGTACCATCAACAGCTTGTATTTATGTAGTGCCTTTCATGAATGTTAGCATCTCGGAACACTTAAAAGTGGCGGAGACTGACCCCAAGCCACATGGGGGTGGGGTGGGGGTTGTTGGGTGGTGGGAAGTGAAAGTAAGCACAATCGAAAAGGAAGGTCTTCAGGGGATGATCTGAAATAGGGGAAGGAAGTGGCAAGGCGGAGGGTTTGAGGGAAAGAATTCCAAAGTTTTAGGGCATAGTGGATGAGGGACAAGCAGGAGGCCAGAACCAGATGAGTGGAGGCGGCAGATAGTGGAGTTGGGAGTAGGCAAGGTCATAGAGATAGGGAGGAGCCAGGGTGTGAAGAGATTTGTAGCCAAGGATGAGGATCTTGAAGCCAATCCGTTCTGTGAAAGGGTGTCAGTGGATCTGACAAGGATTGCTGTGATAGGGATACGAGCAGGTGAGTATAGTGTGGGGGGGTGGGGGGAGTTCTGAATTAGTTAGATTTTGTGGATAGTGCAGCTGGGAAGACATGTGAGCAGGGCATTGGAATAATTGAGGTGGAAGAATTGTTTTATTAAGGCTGAATTTAGGAAGTTTCAAAATAATGTGCAATGTTAAATTTTAAGACAATGTGATGTGACAGGCTAATAAAAAATCAGATCAAGATTACAATGCCTGAATAAGAGAGTCAAAATGGCTTGAAAGGTAAGGAGAATTGTTTCAACAGACAATTAAAAAAAAGCTAGTGAAGATCAAGGTTAGTGAAATGTAATTACAATGTGTCTTCGAGTTAAACTAAAATGAGAAGTGAATCAGCTGGGAGATATTTCCAGCATTTGTTTTTTTTCTATTTAGGATGTGTTTAAGCTGCATGGAATAATAACCTCAGCAGGTTTTAAAGAGCTAGCTGGGCAGAATACTGCATAACAGAAACTTGTTTGTGTGTATAAATACATTTTTCACTAATGAAATTAAATTTATGGACAGTTTACAGATCGAATCAATCTAATTCAGAAATATTTGACATGTACAGATCAGCAAAGTCGTTTTTAGAGTATTGCAATGCAACCCAAAGCATCTCAGCCTGGCTCAGTTGGTAACATTCTAGCTTTTGAGTCAGAAGATTATGGGTTCAAGCCCCATGCAGGGACTTTGAGCTCAGTCTAGGCTGACACTCTAATACAGTTTTGGGGAGTCCTGCATTGTTGGAGGGGTCGTCCTTCAAATGAATCATTAAACTGAGATCCTGGCTCCTTGTTC